AGACAGGGTTTCACTCCCATTGCCTAAGCTGAAGGAAGTGGCATGATCTCGGCTCACTGAAACCTCTGCCTCCCGGGCTCAAGCAATTCTCCTGCCTCAGCCTCACTGCAGGCACACATAGTCCCACCTGGCCAATTTTTGTATTTTTGGTAGAGACGGGGTTTTACCGTGTTACCCAGGCTGGTCTCGAACTCCTGGGCTCAAGCGATCTGGCTGCCTTTGGCTTCCCAAAGTGCTGGGATTACAGGCGAGAGCCACTATTCCCGGCCTAATACCTAACAAGATTAGCAATAATTTTTTAATGTGTATCTAATAACCAGAGAGAGAGTAGGTTTTTAAGGAATTTAAAATATAATATTTTAATATGTAAAATATATGTATATTTAATATAGAATTATATGTAACTGTGTGTATATATACTTTTTGAGTTAGGGTCTCGCTCTGTGGCCTAGGCTGGAGTGCAATGGCACAACCATAGCTCACTGCAGCCTCAACCTCCCAGGCTCAATTGATCCTTCCACCTCAGTCTCCTGAGTAGCTGGGACTTACAGGCATGCACTAGCATGCCTGGCTAATTTAAAATTTTGTTTTGTAGAGGTGAAGTCTTACTATGCTGTACAGACTGGTCTTGAACTCCTGGGCTCAAGTGATCCTCCCACCTTGGCTTCCCAAAGTGCTGGAATTACAGGTCTGAGCCACCGTACCTGGCCAGGAGATACTTTGAATAAGATGGGTTGAGATTACCTAAAGAGGTGGCAAGAGAAAAGGGCTCAGGAGTGAACTCTAGAGAGTACCGGCACTTAAAATGAGCCCAAGAAAGAAGTCAGAAGTGGTAGAAATACACAGAAACTGGTGTAGTAGAGTTTCAGAAGGATAGAGGTGATCAGTACTGTTACATGCAACATAGAGGTACGCTGAAAAGCATCCATTGGATTTAGGAAGTAAGATGGCATTGTTATTCTTAGCAAGAAAAGTTTAAGTATAGTGCTGGAGACAAATCAGAATGGAGTTGATAGAAGAATGAATGACAGATGAGAAAAAGGTGATGACTAGTGTAAGCTATTCTTTGAAAGAGTTAGGTGAATAAGGAAGGAGGTAATAGCTAGAAGACATGAGCTAAGGGTAGGAAGGTAATGGAGATCGGAAGACTTGAGCATGTTTATAGCTGTTGGGGTGCAAACTGTTGAGAGAAAAATACAAGTGTTTATGAGATAACTGAAATAATGTGGCTTATGAGCAGATGGCTGGACATAGTATCAAGGAAGTAAGGAAGGTCCTAGAGAGGAAGAACTAATGAGTATCAAGGTAAGAAAACATGTTGAGAAATATGTAGCAGGAATGGGAACTTACAATTGAGAGGAATCAAACCCACTGGCCTTGAATTTCTAGGTGAAGGAGAGATGATGTCTTAATGAGGAGGTAGAAATGGGCATTGAGTAAAAGGGCTTAAGGAAACTGGTAAAGGTTTGGAATACTGAGGGGAAAGGAAAGAGATGGTGGAAGGCCATGGAAGCATGAGTCAGCAGTACTGAGCACTCAGTGGTGCTTGGAGACCACAACTGTAGTGGTAACAGTCTGTATTTTTTTATCCAGCAATACTCAGCTCCCTGTGTGTAGAAGTAGAGAAGGTAGACTGTAGTTATTTTTCCAAGGCTGGCATTTTACTGGGTAGATACTGCTGAAGGAAATACAGGGTGCAGATAGTTCAACTGGTCAATAATCCATGATCCAGGTTGGATAGGTAAAGAAGGGGTTAGGAGGGGATGCCTAGGTAGGTCAAAATGAAGGAATCACAGGACTGGAGAAGTCAGAAGTAGAAAAGCAGATTGCTAGGAGAGAGAGGGTGAGAGATTTTGGTCAGAAAATGGGGTATTGGAGTTTAAAGTATCAAATGCAGAATAGTTCCAGATGTTCAGAGATCTGGCATGGGATTAGGTACTAAAATGGATTAGAACTAAAGGTCACTAGAATTTAGAAATTGAGAACCATGAGAGTAGATGCAGTGACTTGCTGCTTGATTGAAAAATAATAATAAAGGACCATGAGACTAGCCTGTTACAGGGTTTATCTGCATGAACATTCAATTTTCCCAGGATCATAGCAGGAGTTGGGTAGAGAAAAAGATTATGAGAAGGTGCCAGAGTCTTCGGTGAATGTCAGGAAATTACCAGGAAGTCAGCATATGACAGAGAAAAGGACAGTATGTTATCTGCATCAAAGGAAAATGTGCTTTTGTTGAAAAGTACAGAAAAAGCCAATACTACAAAACTATGCTAAGCCCCTACCTGTACTCCCCAGCCAACAGCTGCCTTCCGGACCCTGTGGTATAAAAGGTGTGAGAATGAGCATCTCCCACCAGAAATCAGACAGGTTTAGTTAAGGCAGTGAGGCAGAACAAGCATCCTATGAAGAGACTGAGGATGTAGGTGAGTGGTTCTAAAATCTCAGTAGAAGGAACATTGCAAGTACAAAGAGCCAGCAGTGAGGATGCACAGAGCAGTCTAGAAGTAGAGGTGAGACCAGCTAGGAGATGAAATGAGGAGATGTCTTCTGTTCTGTGCTGGAGAAGTACTGGTAAGCGTGGTGTGGTTGGGATTCACTGGCCTCAGCCATCCTTACTTTGGTACAAGTTATTTTGGTACAGAACCACTAGAATGTCCCAAAGGCTGTAGTACAGGAACATTCCTGAAAGGACAAAAGCTTCCATGAATTTTGAGAAATTGTATGGTGGCAGGTACAGCCTGGGTCTGAGCAAGACTGCTGGATGGTGTGTGGGTAGATAGTGAAGGCCCAGATTTGGGAACAGATTGGACCTCAGATATCCAGAGCAGCACTGTAGAATCTAGTTGCATATAATGATGTTTTTAAAAGGGTATCCTAGGCTGGGCACGGTAGCTCACGCCTGTAGGCCCAGGCCTTTGGGAGGCCAAGGCGGCAGATCACTTAAGCCCAGGAGTTCAAGACCAGCGTGGGCTACATGGCGAAACCCCATCTCTATAAAAAAATTAAAAATAAAAGTAAAATAAAATAGTGGGCGTGGTGGCATGTACCTGTAGTCCCAGCTACTCAGGAGACTGAGGAAGGTGGATTGCTTGAGCCTGGGGAAGTCAAGGCTGCAGTGAGCCATGATCATGCCACTACACTCCAGCCTGAGTGACAGAGTGAGACCTTGTCGCCAAAAAAACAAACAAACAAACAAACAAAAAAACAGGGCTACCTTACTCTGGAAGAAACACATGTAGCATTGGCTGAATAAAGAAATGAAGCTTCATGATGAAGGACATTTGGAATCAGAGTGCAATAAACTTTTTGTCTTGTAGCTATAACAAGAATGCATGGCTTTGAAAATCACTGCAGCAGTATATATTTAGCATCTGGTTGCTGAATAGCAGTCTCTTGTGACTGAGGATGATTTTCCATGGTTCCTTTTTGTATTCTGAAATGACTAATGGAACCATCTGGGATCAGCAGATTTTAACTCCCTGAAGGCTGGAAAAGACTTACTTGGCTTTATGATTCCCCATAAAGTCAGGCCCGGCGCTTTGCACTTAAGTGTTTATTGAATAAAAGAGTGACTTGTGTGGAAGTTATTCATTCTGCTTTAGCTGTTTTTGTCATTCATTCCCTTTTAACTCCTATGTGGTAGTTTGTTGTGACTTTAACTTTCTTACGCTTTTTTTGTGGAGCTGCTCAATAAATATTTGACATAGGTATTATGCCGTTTTATGGCTCATCCAGTGTCACACAGCTAGTGAGTGGCAGAGCCAAAGCTCAAAATCAGTTTCAGTGGGTTCTGAAGGTCAGGCGCTTTGCGGTACACTAGAATTAGTGCCAGTGTAAGAGGCATAGGGGTGATCCTGTTTCCTGAGCATAAAGCTTTATTTAGCCCTGTGGTCCTACCCACTCATGCAAGGATGCTTCTTTCTCATCTGACATGAGAACCCAGATGACTTGAGAGATCAACAGTGTCTCCTCAACGCTGCCCTGCCCAGCGTTCCTGCAGCCCGCTCTCTACAGACAGACAGTGTCAGTGGAACGTTGTTCCTGGAGTATTCTTCGTTTTAGTTGCTTTACCCTTGCTTCATATATTTGTGTCTCACATTTTAGATTGCGTTGAAATATCCCTGAAGCACTTTTTAAAAAAAAAAAAATGTGGTAAAATATACATAAAATTCATCATTTTAAACTTTTTTTAAACTATGATTCTGAATTTAGAATACTTCTGATGTATAAAATGCTATGTAAAATATGATTTTGCTGTTGGCTTCTGTATTAGTTTTTCACTGCTATATAACAAATTCCTATAAACTTAGCAGTTTAAAACAGCGTACCTTTGTTATCTCACAGTTTCTATGGATCAGGAGTCCAGCCACAGCTTAATTGGGTCCTCTGCTCAGGGTCTTATTGGGCTACAGGCCAGTTGTTGACTGGGCCTGTGGTCTTTATCAGAAGCTTAACTGGGAAAGATCCACTTCCAGGTTTCCGCTGTTGGCAGAATTCATTTCCTCCAAGCTGTAGGACTGAGGTGCCCATTTTCTTGCTGGCTGTCAGCCAGGGACCACATTTAGCTTCTAGGATCTGCCTGTAGTTGGTCCCTTGCCATGTAGTTCTGTCCGTGAGCCTCCTCATAACATGGCAGCTTAGTTCTTTAAAGCCAGCAAGGGAGAGTTTCTGAGTCTCAGGGAAGGCCTGGACCCCCTTTAAAAATCTACCTGATTAAGTTAGGGCCACCCAGGATGGTTTCCTTTCTGAATAACTCAAAATCAACTGATTTGGGACCTTAATTACTTCTGTAGAAACCCCTTCACTTTTGTCTTATAATCTAATCATGGGAGTGACATCTTGGCATATTCTGTTGGTTGAAAGCAAGTCTCGTAGGTCCCACTTATGCTCAAAGGGAGTGATTACACTCCCCTTGGTGAGAATATGGAGTCTGAAAATGGGGCAGGGGGCGTCTTAGAGCCTGTGTGCTACGGTTTCCTTTTTTATCCATTTCATAGGGTTTTTTATCAGCAATTGGACACCCTTTCCCCAAAATGATTTTTAATCATGGAAGGAAAAAGAGAACTTGGAATTACCTTGAATTTGAAGAAGAAGAAGATAAACAGTTAGCAGACTCAATGGCTTCTCTGGCATATCTAGTATTTGTACAGGGCATCCGTATTGATCAGCTTCCAATGGTCTTAAGGTAAGAGTTAGTGTTTGGTTTATTCATGTATTCCAAAAGGAGTTTCATAAAATTCTCATCTATCTAATGTCCAATATATGCATATTAACACACTAATACATTTTAAATAAATAATAAAGGCTATTTTTAATAAGAATGGTCCCAGCTATAATCTGTTAAAGATAGCAGTAGACAAGTAATGAAAGTGGGGGGTGTTGAAATAGGTGTAAGGGAATGGTGGGGACAAGAATCAGAAGATGGTAAACTGGGCTTGGTTTTGAAGCTTTTGAGGTCACCCTGGAACTAGCCAGGTACCCAGGGTATCATCATCTTTTCACTGGATTACGGCTGTAATCCTAAGTGGATACTAATATATCCACTTCGACTGCCTTTTAATTTAACACATTCTCAACATACCAGAAAGTGAAGCCTTAAAAGAAGTCCCTTACTGAAAACCCTCCAGTGGCTTCGTATTGCTTTAAGAATAGTGTCTTAATGCCTTTGCATAACTTCTGAGACAAACTTATGCTTGGTCTGTTCCCTGCTCGATTGGCCTGATTCATCTCCTACCACCTTTCCTCTTGTTTGCTATGCGCCAGTGACACAGACCTTCTTTTGTTTCTTGTTTAAATGTTATGCGTTTTCCAGCTATTTGGCCTTTGTATATGCTTAAAATTATCTTTATCCTTAAATGTCACTTTCTGAGCAAAGCCTTCACTTACCACCCAATTTAGGTTGAATCCTTCCATTATAATTACCTTGACCTTGTCTTCTTTTCCCACAATGTTCGTTAAAATTATTTTTAAAAGATATAATTTTATAATGTAATATCTTCTGGACTTTGAGTTCTGTGATAATAAGGATTGTGTTTTTGTCTCTAAGCATTGGGTGTTTGTGTGAGTTTGTATATTTATGAATATACCTAGGAGTATATTTGTATGTAAATGTTGCGATAATGGCTATCATTTGCATGTGCACCATGTATGAAACATTATGCTAATAACTTTATATGCATTATCTCATCCTTATAATAAGCCTGTGAAATAGAGCATTCTTTCATTTTACAGATGAAAATAACAGGCTTAGACAGGTTAATATACCACCGAAGATCTAACTACTTTGTGGCATAGGTGGGATTCAGACAGCTCTGTCTGACCCCAGATCCTGTACTCGTAAGCATCACAGTCTATCACCAAAATAACTTATACAGCATATGTGTATTGATTTGCTAGGGCTCCTGTAAAAAAGTGCTACCAACTGGATGGTTAAAATAACAAATAGTTTGTCTCATAGTTCTGGAGGCTCCTTCTAAGGGTTGTGAAGGAGAATCTTCTCCATGCCTCTCCCCTGGCTTCTGGTGATTTGCTCGCAATCTTTGATGGTCTTTGGCTTGTAGATGCATTATCCTGTTCTCTGCCTTCATGTTCATATGCTGTTCTCCCTGTGTGCTTGTGTCTGTCTCCAAACTTTCCTTTTTTATAAGGACAACAGTCATATTGGATTAGGGCCCACCCTAATAATCTCACTTTAAATTGATTACCTCCATAAAAACCCCTATCTCCAAATAAGGTCAGATTCTGAGGTACTGGAGGTATGGACTCTAACATATGTTTTTTGGGGGAGATACAATCCAACCCATAACAGTATGTATGTGCGTACATCTCTGTGTGTGTATTATATATATTTGTTTTGTTTCTATTTTAGCCCATTGTACCTTTTGCAGTTTAATATGGGGCATATTGAAGTCTTTTTGCAAAGGTAAGATTATTTAGATGGTATCTCAAAATGAAATAGTGTTAAAATAGTCCTTGTTAAGATCAGCAGAGACTGCCTTCTCTTTGCTAGGCTCTAATTAATTAATTGGTTATTTTACAGAACAGCTTGGCAAATAATTCACGAGAGAGACAGAAATGAGTCAAAGAGGTTTTACACCAAAGTCTCTTTTATTTTAAACCTAAGACAGTATTAAGATTTTTGTCTTAAGGGCTTTTCCAGTCATCTCTTTCTAAGGTTTCTTCCCTTATTCCAAAAGTTGGTAATTAAAACACCCCTACCCTACTGCATCCTCCTCCATCCTAAGGAAGGGCAGTCAATAAAAGACATTCATCCGTATTTTTCCTTCATGGACACAGTCTGTGAATTGCATCAAAAGGAAGGAGGTGTCTTGACTTCCACTTTTTATAATTGAGATTATTGACAGTGATATCATTTAATTACAACTTTTCTCGTTTGAGGTGCTAAGCAGCAGGACTTTCTATTTAAAAAAAAAAAAAAAAAAGGCCAGGCATGGTGGCTCACGCCTGTAATCCCAGCACCTTGGGAGACCAAGGCAAGAGGATTGCTTTACCCCAGGAGTTCGAGGCCAGTCTCTCTCTACAAAAAATCTGAAAAGTTAGCCAGGTGTGGTGGCGCATGCCCGTTGTCCCAGCTACTTGGGAGGCTGAGGTGAAAGAATTGCCTGTACCGGGGAGGTCTAGGCTGCAGTGAGCAGAGATCACACCACTGCAGTCCAGCCTGGGCAACAGAATAAGACCCTGTCTCAAAAGAGAAAAAAAAGGAAATTACAGAGTAACAAGTATACATAATTTCTAGACAGAAATTAAAGAATTTCGCAAAACTGTATGCTTTGTTTTCTTTCACTATAACATGTAACATGTTTAAATTATCCCCTGAGATCAGTTAGGGCTTTGCAATTATCCTCCTGGAACACTAGTGACAGTTTATCAATCCCATCTCTTACCAGGTGAAGGAAGATTTGTAACATGGCAATGTGCAAATCTTCAGCATACAAGGCAGGAATTTCCAAGGATCTCCTGGCACAAGTAGTTACTAACTCTGTAAATTTGCTGTATTTTGTATGTGTTAATGATTTTATATTCATTACATTTAGTTTCTGTTATTCATACAGTGATAGTATGTATTGTTTTGAATCTAAGTCCTATATTCTTGAGATTTCCAAACTGCATAGTCATTGAATCTTTTTTTGAATAAAAAGAATTGGAAAGATTTTACAGAACAATCAACTGGAATATATAGCATTGGTTATATCAGGTATAGTTAGTTTCTTAGCGCTTGCTGTTGGAGATCTATTGTTTTGAAGTTAGGAAATAATCCCTGAATAGATTTATTTTGGTCAGATTTAGCGGTCTTAGCCAAACCAAAAGACAGATCAAAGATGGATTAAAACTTTTGATCAAGTTCTTCAACAGAATTTCTCCTTAATGATACACATTTTAAAAGTGTTAAAATTTCAATTTTTGCTGTATTTTTCATCAGATGAAGTATCCTTCTAAAATAGTTTACAAATTCATGATAAATTGTAATATTATTTTTCAGAACAGAAGAGTCTGTTATCTCCAAAGGATTGGTAAGATGTTTGTTCCCATTATAACTTAAATACATAGTCTTGTCAACAAATAACAGCTGTTGACTTCACTATATATGTATCTGCATATATTTTAATCTGTAGGAGCTGCTGGAGAATAGTTTATTGAGAATAGAAGACAGTAGTCTACTTTACCAGTACTTAGAAATCAAGAGTTTTCTTACTGTACCTCAGGTAAATAAAATATGTATTCTAATATTGAAAATAGCCCTTTGCCTGTTCTGAACTTAAAATAAGGTCTTTTCTGATTCCTTTCCCACTCTCTTCTCTGCAACCTTTGAAAACTCTGGTGTAATGCTGTCCAGTAGAACTTTGACAATATGAAAGCCACTAACCAAACTGAACACTTGAAATGTGACTAAGGAACTAAGTTGTTTTGTGTGTGTGTGTATTTTTTTTTTTTTTGAGACGGAGTCTTGCTCTGTCACCCAGGCTGGAGTGCGGTGGCACTATCTCGGCTCACTGCAACCTCCACCTCCCGGGTTCACACCATTCTCCTGCCTCAGCCTCCCGAGTAGCTGGGACTGCAGGTGCCCGCCACCACGCCCAGCTAATATTTTTGTATTTATAGTAGAGATTGAGTTTCACCGTGTTAGCCAGGATGGTCTTGATCTCCTGACCTTGTGATCCGCCCGCCTCCCAAAGTGCTGGGATTACAGGCGTGAGCCACTGCGCCCAGCTGGAACTGAGTTTTAAATTTAAATTTTAATTTGTTTAAACATGGATAGCTATTAGAGGCCACCATTATAGATAGCACAGCGTCCCGTAGAAAAGCATAACTTTCTTCTTTCAGTACTTTATTTCTGTAGGGATCTTGGAAAATGAAGCTCCTTTATGTTTCTCATAACTCAAGTTCTCAGGACTCCATCCAAGGCATCCACAGACTCATTACCATAAAGACTAATATACATTTTGTTTTTCCCTCCTATGGTTTATTTTGCCCAGTATTCTTTGTTATAATATCCAAGGACATCCTTAGATTTCAGTGTGGGAACTGGTTTTCCTGATATTTAAATAGAAAAACATGGTTTTTGTTAACATATTGTTTGATTGTTTTTAATTAATAAATTATATTTCCGTGGGTTTGATTTCATTTTCTTGCCACTGTAGACATAATTGAAAATTATCATTTGCTTTTAAAAGTACGCTTTGTGACACTCTACTCAATATCACTTAAAAAATCAATTGTAGTTAGCTTTCTGGAATGGAAGGCTTAGGGAAAAATTAATTTACTTCACTTTTAAATCTGCTACCCTCACTTCTCTGAATTTTTAGTAACCTATTGATGTATTGTAGTTGTTTGTTTGCAGTCAGTATAATCTGTTTACATCTGAATTTTACATTTTTTTATTTCCAGGGCTTAGTGAAAGTAATGACACTTTGTCCCATTGAGACACTGGTATGTAAATGTTTGGAGACTAAAGAATAATGAGTTACAATGAGAAAATTTGACAAATAATTTAATCTTCTTTTTAAAATTTTTAATTTGTAAAATTTTTATATATTTAGGAGGTACAAGTGTGGATTTATTACATGCATGAAATGGATAGTGATGAAGTCTGGGCAATCTATTCATTTGATATAATAATATTGTTTGTTCCATTTTAGAGGAAAAAGAGTTTAGCTATGCTTCAGCTGTATATTAACAAGTTGGATTCACAAGGCAAATATACATTATTTAGGTATGTATCAAGCATGGCTAATTGCTAAGTGTGTGGCTGATTAAAAATGATGTTAATGCCATGTAATTGTTTTAGGGCGTAGTGTGTCGGTATGTTTTACATGTAATTCAACTCTGGTTAGAAGCCATATTATACATTCTCAGTGATGGCTAGAGAAAGGGTTAATCAAATATTTCAGATACATACTATATATGTCTATATTTTGTATGACTAATAGTATATATTGCAGTTCAATCAATTGGAATACTCTAAATTTGAAATAGACCTAAAAATAATTAAACTGGGATGATGCTCCTGCTAGAACTTTGTGTATGTCACTAATCTCCATTACTCACAGTTGAAATTGATGGCTTTGGAATTACAACTTTGATAGGCTATGCACTATGTTAATAGTAAGAGCTTACTAATAGTGCTCTTTGAGGTGGATAAGATTCTAGCAACTCTCTAAAGATTGGTAAACTTGCTAATTTTCTGTGAAGAGCCAAATGGTAAATATAGGTTTTATGGGCTATACAGTCTCTGTTGCAACTGCTCAATGTTGACTTTGTATTGGGGATGGGTGTGTTCCAGTAAAACTTTATTGATAAAATTGGGCAGCAAGCTGGATTTGCTAAAATGTCTTACTTGGGATTGGCCAGTATTAGCACTGTTGTTTTTGTGGGGGTGCAGCAGTGTGATCATGGCTCACTGCAGCCTTGACCCTTGACCTCCCAGCTTCAGGTGATCCTCCCACCTCAGCCTCCCAGGTAGCTGGGACTACAGGTGCATGCCATCATGCCCAACTAATTTTTTTGTGGAGACAAGATTTTTCCATGTTACCCAGGCTGGTCTCAAACTCCTGGGCTCAAGCGATTCACACCTAACTCAGCCTCTCAAAGTGTTGAGATGACATGCGTGAGCCACCATGCCCAGCCAACACTCTTGATCCTATCTTTTCTTGTTGTTCTATTGGCAGTAAGAGCAAGTTTATGAAATCTCAATTCTTAGGTATTATACTAGCTTTCCTATTCTATTCTATCTGTAGCTCTACCAATAAATCCCCTTTTTTTCTTAAGCTAGTCATACCTAGTTTTTGTGGGGGTTTTTTTGTTTTTTTGTTTTTTTTTTGCAATTAAGCTACTCTAGCACTAGACTACTTTCACAGGAAAGAATTTGGGGATTTTTTAGACTATTATGTTAGTGTCCTTTCTTGCCATGTTAAATTATTGTAACTATGGGCATAAAAATACTCAAATTTGGTTTGATAGAAATGGCTTGTTGGAAGATGCAGTTATAAATAATTTATGGGCCAGGTGCGGTGGCTCATACCTGTAATCCCGGGACTTTGGGAGGCTGAGGCGGGCAGATCACGAGGTCAGGAGTTTAAGACAAGCCTGGCCAACGTGGTGAAACCCCGTTCTACTAAAAATATAAAAAATTAGCCAGACATGGTGACTGGCACCTGTAATCCCAGCTACTTGGGAGGCTGAGGCAGGAGAATCACTTGAACCGGGAGGCAGGGGTTATAGTGAGCCGAAATCGTGCCATTGCGCTCCAGCCTGGGCAACAGGGTGAGACTCTGTCTAAAAAAAATAAAAAAATAAGTTACCATTTAGTGAGAACAATAACTATTACAGGTGGCTTTGTAATTGGTTGATCACCTTGCTAATTGCCATTACTGTGGGGTTTTTATTCCTAGAAGTAACACATGGCCTCTTTGCATTTGTAAGACTTTTATCACCATTTAATTCTAATGCCATCCAGGATAATTTCACATGTATTGTAATTTTTGCTTTCAAGGTGCTTATTGAATACAAGTAATCACTCAGGTGTGGAGGCTTTTATTATTCAAAATATCAAAAATCAAATTGACATGTCATTAAAGGTAAGAACATAGCCAAAGTGTCAATTGCCAATTTATTTTGTAGGGTATATTTATTCATATGTAGAATACATTTAATGTGAGTTATTGCTCTATCTCTAGTATTAATTACTATTACTTAAATATTAAGGCATATTTTTTTCCCCTATTTCTACTATGTTTTAAAAACTCTGAATTTGGAAATTTTGTTAACTGTAAGTTTAAATTGTATTCTTTGAGCTTTTTTTTTTTTTTTGGATACAGGGTTTCACTCCTGTCACCCAGGTTGGGTGCAGTGGCACGATCTCGGCTCACTGCAACCTCCACCTCCTGAGCTCAAGCAGTCCTCCCAAATCAGCCTCCCGAGTAATTGGGACTGCAGGTGCCCACCACTGCACCTGGCTGAATTTTGACTTTGTAGAGATGGAGTTTCACCGTGTTGCCCAGGCTTGTCTTGAACTCCTGAGCTCAAGTGATCCACCTGCCTTGGCCTCCCAAAATGCTGGGATTACAGGTGTGAGTCATCACTCTGGGCCTCTTTTAGCTGATATTGTGGCTTCTTTTTGTTTTGTTATATGCTTCTGAAAAATGAATGGAAACTTAAGTCTCTTCTGTTTGTGAGTACTCAGTAATTCTAAATGGAAAACAGAGTGACCAGTGTTCTCAAACTGGCAGGGTTTGTTCCTGGTGTCTGGGAAGTGAATGAAAGTATGGAAATTAAAGTTAAAAAATATATTTTAAATGTGCAATTCTTTATTTTCGTAGTGTCAAGGTATTAGAAAAACACATGAATTATCAAGCTATTTAAAGCCTTTCTCAATTTTTCGTTGTTTTTCAGAGAACACATAACAACAAGTGGTTTACAGGACCACAGTTGGTTTCCCTTCTTGATTTGGTACTTTTTCTTCCAGAGGGTGCAGAAACAGATTTACTGCAAAACTCAGATAGGTGAGGTGACCATTACTGAAGTTCACATAGTGAATTCAGAATAAAATGGGAAACATCTGCTTAGGGAACCTAAAGTCATAAAATGTCTTTTCCTGTGATTTTATGATTTATGGCTAATTCATTAAGTTACATAAAGATTTTTCATATATAAGTGATTTGATAATGTGTAGAAACAAAATAAAAAGCTCCTCTTTCTAGGTGAATGACCAAAAACCAGGATTTGATAGCTTTTATGTACCCAGCGTTCCACAGAAATTTGCAATGACAGCATTTGTGACTTAAAACTAAAAATCTGTGTATGTATGTAATTTATGTGTTTGGATTTTGTTGTTTTATTGTTTTCCAGGTCATTTTTTTTCCATATAGAACATATAATTTCAGTTTCAGTATACTGGAATGGATATTGAGAAATAGTTAAAAGCATTTAAAAAGGAATCTTAAAATTCAGAAAGCAAGAGATGATGCTCTCAAATACTAAAGATAACACTTTTTTAAAACAAGGATAATAATTTTCACAATTGTATTATTTGAACTTCAATGGAAAACAAGAGTGATAAGTTATTACTACTCAAAAAGATATTAATGGAAATAGTTTCTATTGGCAAACCTAATTATAAAAATATGCCCAAAGTTTTAGCTTATTAATTGAGATTTCTGTTGACTATATAAAACCATACTGTAAGTAACATGTATTTTCAATTAACAGGATTATGGCTTCATTAAATTTATTGAGGTATTTGGTTATCAAAGATAATGAAAATGACAATCAAGTAAGTGGAGTATTTGAAAAGAAACTGTGAGTATATTCAAAAGGCATAAAGAATGTTTCAGATATTCAGTACCTAAAGCCAATATTTAATGTCTTACCCAGCTATAAAGGCCAGGAAGAGTTCCAACAATTATTCTGAAACCTGAAGTTAATTCCCAGGAGCATTTACCACCCCACATCCAGCTTTCCTTTCCCTTTCCATTTCCTATTGTATGTCTGTTTTCTTGCTGAAAGCACTTTGTTCTGTTGGGTAGATAAGTTGCAGGTCCTAAGTCAACTAACCTTGTGGAGCTCAATGTACATATGGGTGTCTTGTTCAGTTTCCTCCACCTCTAGCTCATGAGCTATATAAAATCATCTGATATTTTAATATTGCCTCATCAGACATGACAAATTGAGGCATTTTCAGCACTAAAACAGAATTTAATAGCACTTTTTAAATAATGTTTAGGAAGTTGGATTTTTTAAAAATAGCAGATCATTAGAAGTATTCAATAAATAGAAAACTATTTGAGGGAGATTTGTCATACAGTAAAATTATATTTGCTTTTTATCTTCTCTTTCTACCCTGTTCTGATAATTGCTTTCCCTATATGTGTCACCTCTATTAGCTAGAACTGCCTGAATCATGTGTTGTTAATTGGTTTTTTTTTTTTTTAGTAATTGATTTTTATATAAAGATGCCAAAGAAAAAAATTTTTTTTAATTAGGTAAATTGTGATTTGGGATGAAAGTTTATGGGAAAAGTAGCAGTCTCTTTCCTTCCTGACAGATCTACAGTAGATTCAGTGATTTGACCCCCTGTTCATCCCTCTGCAGCTGAAAATAGCTATTTGCCATCACTGACTAGTGCTTACTCTGTGTCAGGTGCTATTTTTTTTTTTTAACATTTTGTTGTGAAAACTTTCAAATGTACAGCAAAGTTGAAAGAATTTTATAGTGGTCATTGGTTTACCCACCACCTAGAGTCTATGATTCTACTGTACTGACTTCATCATGTATCTATCACTCCACCCTCTATCACTCCATCCGTCTATCTTATCTTTTGATGTATTTCACAGTAAACTGCAGACATCAGCATACTTTCTCCTAAATATTTCAGCTGCATTTCATTAAATTAAGTATTTGTCTGTAGTTTTTCTTTGAGGTAAAATTTACATAATGAAATGTTCAAATTTTAAGTGTATATTCACTGAATTTCAACTAATGCATAGATCTATATTACTAAAACCCATATCAATATAGAACATTTCCAACATCACAAGAGGTTCCTCATGCCCCTTCCCAGTTAATTCTGACTTCATTGCGCCACTCACCCCTGTCAGGGACAACCACTATTCTGCCCAAGTGCTACATATCATTTATTCTTCAGAGAGGGTCTCGTTCTCTTGCCCAGGCTGGATTACAGTAGTATAATCATGGCTCACTGCAGCTTTGACCTCCTGGGATCAAGAGATCCTCCCACCTCGGTCTCCCAAAGTGCTGGGGTAACTTCCAGGCATGAGCCACCATGGACAGCCAAGAAAAGGACTCTTTATTTTTTACTTTTCATAGATAACGTAGGTGAAAAAAGATCATTAACTTGCACAAGGGCAAACATCTGGAAAGTGGTAGAAATAGCTATGACCCCAGGCAGTGGCCAGAACTTTCTAAATCACAAACTAAATCCTGATTCCTGAAGGAGCTTGTGATAAAAATTGAAAAGCTACAATATAAAATTCAGCAGCAGTAGAGGCCCTGAGACTTCAGGAAGGTGGCCTTAGGGTAGGGTATAAGTTTTTATTTTTTTAGTAATCAAGAAAGGCTATACATACTTGAGAGATTATCTGACTTGCCTGACAAAAACAAAAGGAATCTTGTTGATTAGGATTGATAGATGTGTTAGATATGGAACACAGAGTCATACAAAGGCCGCAGATTGGTCTCTGCCTAGAGAGGGAAGACTTGAGAGCAGTTTAGCATTGTGCAGTGTCTGCTGTACTATCCATAGATGATTCCTCACTTTTGTTTGGCATGTACATTTTCTGGTAAGGAAAAGGATACAGCCAGCCTGTAGGACTGCTTTTTTTTTTTTCTCAAAGAGACAGTGTGTCACTGTAATGCCCAGGCTGGAGTACAGTGGCACAGTCACGGCTCACTGCAGCCTCAAACTCCCCAGCTTAAACAATCCTCCCACGTCAGCCTCCCAAAGTGCTGGGATTACAGGCACTTCTTTTTTTTCTTTTTTGAGACGGCGTCTCACTCCGTCGCCCAGGCTGGAGTGCAGTGGCACGATCTCTGCTCACTGCAATGTCCACCTCCTGGGTTCAAACGATTCTCCTGCCTCAGCCTCCTGAGTAGGTGGGACTACAGCCAGGCACCACCACACCAGCTGATTTTTGTATTTTTACTAGAGATTGGGTTTCATCATGTTGCCCAGGCTGGTCTCAAACTTTTGACCTCAAGTGATTCTCCCTCCTCAGCCTCCCAAAGTGCTGGCATTACAGGTGTGCGCCACCACGCCCAGCCAACAGGCATCTCTTATTTAATGGCTTTTAACAATTTTTCTAAGGGATCAAATATTCCAAATTATTGCTTTATAAGTTACCATAAGAATTATACCAGGGAAATTAGCAAAAATCCAGTCTAAGCTGGCAACCTGACATCTTTTAGGCTCTTAAGAGCCTGTCTATCTTGGAAACATTTCTCCTGAGTGTTATGACAATAGGTCATGTGTATAATTGAGAGGCAAATATGTCTACTGTGGTTAATAAAAAATGAATGACAGTTTCTGAGTTTTTGGAAGATTTGGTTAAAGAAAAAACAAAATGGGCAGGGCGTGGTGGCTCACGCCTGTAATCCCAGCACTTTGAGAAGCCGAGATGGGCAGATCACGAGGTCAGGAGATCGAGACCATCCTGGCTGACACGGTGAAACCCCTTCTCAACTAAAAATACAAAAAAAACTCAGCCGGGAGGCTAAAGCAGGAGAATGGCATGAACCGGGAGGTGGAGCTTGCAGTGAACCGAGATCACGCCACCCCACTCCCCCCAGGCGACAGAGCAAGATTCCGTCTCAAAAAAAAAAAAGAAAGAAAAAACAAAATGATGGTCTGATGATGCTGAAATATGGGGCATTTTATTCAAAAGGACTCCTACCAGTACCTATTTTTGAGCACTTAAGTGTGCTAAGAGGGTAATTAGATGAAAAGCAGACACACAGAAATATGAACAGGAAGATTTGAGAGAATCACATTCAAATACAAAGACAACAAAGTGATTCATAATTGAATAATAATCCATTTCTTTTCTTGCTATTTTGGGTTACTGTCAACTGACTTACTCTCTTCAGAAGCCATCCCTTCTCACCCTACTATTTCATGCCTCTTGTATCTCCTTGCTCAAGTTTCAGGCACCTGCTCTTACTCTTGAATTTCACATAACTTTTCTTGAATATTGTAGTACAAACATGCTCCCATCTTTACTAGTAAAACCAGCTTAGTTTTTATACCAAATATTATCTATTTGGTGAGTATCTTTAAATAATTATTAGTTGTTTTGAATTACAATAATTTATTCTAATACATATCTCATAATCATGTTATCCCTTACCTTCTGTCCTATGTACTCATATCCTTTCCCATCCATCTGTTCACTCATCTTTTTTTCTAAAAAGTTTGTAATTATAGTATGTAGAATGAAAGCTGGGACAAGGGAAACAATGAGATGGCAAAGTCCACAGGTAAGTATCAGGAATTTTAAAATTGAATTGTTTAATGTGTGTGTGTGTGCTTTTCATTTAGGAAAAAAAACTATATCTTGTATAATAAATACACATACATAAAATTCTGTATAATCCATATTTTGGGTGGTCATTTAAGTTTGTTTTTTTTTTAAATACTTTAAGTTCTGGGATACATGTGCAGAACGTGCAGGTTTGTTACATAGGTATACACGTGCCATGGTGGTTTGCTGCACCCATCAACTCGTCATCTATGTTAGGTGTTTCTCCTAATGCTATCCCTCCCCTATCCCCCGAGCCCCAACAGGCCCCAGTGTGTGATGTTCCCCACCCTGTGTTCTCATTGTTTAACTCCCACTTATGAGTGAGAACATGTGGTGGTTTATTTTCTGTTCCTGTGTTAGTTTGCTGAGAATGATGGTTTCTAGCTTCATCTATGTCCCTGCAAAGGACATGAACTCATCCTTTTTTATGGCTGCATAGTATTCCATGATGTATATGTGCCACATTTTCTTTATCCAGTCTATCACTGATGGGCATTTGGGTTGGTTCCAAGTCTTTGCTATTGTGAATAGTGCTACAGTAAACATACATGTGCATGTGTCTTTATAGTAGAATGATTTATAATTCTTTGGGTATATACCCAGTAATGGGATTGCTGGGTCAAATGGTACTTCTGGTTCTAGATCCTTGAGGAATCGCCACACTGACTTCCACAATGGTTGAACTAGTTTACAGTCCCACCAACAGTGTAAAAGCGCTCCTGTTTCTCCATATCCTCTCCAGCAGCTGTTGTTTCCTGACTTTTTAATGATCACCATTCTAACTAGTGTGAGATGGTATCTCATTGTGCTTTTGATTTGCATTTCTCTAATGAGCAGTGATAATGAGCTTTTTTTCATGTTTGTTGGCCACATAAATATCTTCTTTTGAGAAGTGTCTGTTCATATCCTTTGCCCACTTTTTGATGGTTTTTTTTTTTTCTTATAAATTTGTTTACGTTCCTTGTAGATTCTGGATATTAGCCCTTTGTCTGATGGATAGATTGCAAAAATTTTCTCCCATTCTGTAGGTTGCCTGTTCACTCTGATGATAGTTTCTTTTGCTGTGCAGAAGCTGTTTAGTTTAATTAGATCCCATTTGTCTGTTTTGGCTTTTGTTGCCATTTCTTTTGGTGTTTTAGTCATGAAGTCTTTGCCCATGTCTATGTCCTGAATGGTAGTACCTGGGTTTTCTTCTAGGGTTTTTATGGTTTTAGGTTTTACATTTAAGTCTTTAATCCATCTCAAGTTAAATTTTGTATAGGG